TATAATAATAATTATATATATATAATTATTATTATAACTATAATAAAAACTATAAACTAATTATTATATGTTTATCGTCGCTATTTCCATGAACCGAAAATACGAATATCGCGATTGAAAAATTGTTACTTTTTGATGCCAATTTCTGACCTGAAAAATTCGTCGCAGGATTCTTGTATTTATTATTTAAAACATATTAAATAAATTGTAGTTATAAGGTCACAATGTTTATATCAATCTATTAATTAATTAGTAATTAACTAATTTAAAATATTAATTAAGATTATATTAATTAAGATATTCGTAAGCTTCTTGTGAAAGTTATTTACATAATTGCAGTTTATTTATACGGCATTTCGACGGATATTCGTCACCTCGTGTGAACCATCTGAGCTCTGCTTACCAAAAACACGCGTATAATCGCGCGGTAGCATTTGCATACATGAACACTTTGGCGATGCTTTTGTTTTTTATTTTTGTTTTGTTTTACATTTACATATAGCGTTAGGCCCACTGAATTATTTAAATGCTTAAATAATTGAAAACATAAATTATGTAGATTAAATTCTCATATAATTTACAATGAAACTTTATAATGTACGGTATTTTATAAGATTATTTTTTTAAACAGAATAAAATAGGTAACATTTTATTGAAGAAAAAAAAAACAAGATTTTACATCTATAGACGTAATTTGATTTAATATGCTGAATCATTATTAATGGTATAGGCCTATAACTATTATATATTTCTATAAATTAATCAACAAATATCTCATTAATCACACTATCGAAAATAGGCCTATTGAAGTATTATTGAAGTATTATTAATTCTTTATTAAAGCATTATTCGAGCACCTCAGGTTCATTATTATTATTATTATTATTATTATTATTATATTATTATTATTATTATTATTATTATTATTTTATGTATCATTTATCAACCATACTAACATTGAAAATATGAATTATGTGGATAAAATTATCATAGAAATTAAACTTATAATTTGTAAGATTATTTTTTTAAAACAGCAGAATAAAAAAGATAACACCTTTATTTAAAAAAAAAAAACAGGTTTTGCACAGACGCAAGTTGATTTAATATATGCTGATTCATCTCATTAATTAAACAATTTTTATTCATTTCGAGCACAGCTGTTATTATTATTATATTATTATTGTTATTA